ACACTTGCGTCATCTATCATTATCTATATCTGGCATTAAAATCGATTCAGAGTTGGCAATGTTTACCTCTAAAGTTTTATTCGATTGAACAAATATTTAAGGTACATAAATCTCTCTCTTTAGTACAAATAATAAAAATGTATGCTAAGTACTTAACTCTTATGATGATTATTTTAATATTTTATTTTGTGTACACTATAGGACAACACTATTTCTTAACTCCTAGCGCCTTAACGGCTCAACTATTATTAAATTTAAAAATAGAAGTATTTACGATTGAGCATAGTGATATGGGCTACTTTTTATCCTAGTCCATCAACATATCTTAACGTAAATACTTTTCCAAATATTATTGTATAAAATTTAATAAAAGCAACAAATTACATCGCATAGTTGCCTACATTTTACAACGTTCTATATTTATTTAATGAATGCACGAGAAATTTAAATGAAGCACTTCCAAAGATTATAACTGATGGTTATTTAAAAGCACTCATTACGGAAGCAGCTATAAGGAATCAACAACAAACAGCGGCATTTTAGGACTACTGTAATTTTATTCATTTATGCAGCCATTATGTCATTTAAATGCAGACAGGTTTCTGAGAAGACAGTTGAAATAACAATTTTCTATTTGTCAAAAATACAACTTCACTTTGATGTTCTAGAAGCCATCTATTTGCATTAGGTCAACTTTCTCAAAATCATAATTGTTAGGTATTGTAGATATTTACAAACCTAACATTAGGTGAATGTTGTAATAGTCAAGAGTCGATGTGGTGTGTTCAGAATTAATTTTTATTTTTAAGTCTTTTCCAAAAGGGAGAGTTTCTCATTTCGTCTGTATTTTTCATGACTGTATTTTATAATAACATTGCCAATTATGAACTCATTTTGATAATTCCTTTTACAATCAATACTTCCATGTTGGTAACTATTAACATGTTGATAATTATTAACGTGTTGGTAACGCGTATTAATTTTGTAATAATTGAAATTGCGTTTTACATAATAACTGATGAATTGATTTTGATGACATTTTCACAGTATATTATTCATTACCAGAGGGAGACTTTGTACAAAAGTCGATTGCTTGGGTACCTCTATCCCATCCGTGTTTCTACCGTGAAGCAGGCTGTGTTTCGGTTTGAAAGGTGGGATATGGCATGAATTTACAGGGTACAGAGGAATAACATCTGAGTCCTCAGGAATGGCAACGCATGGGGGGGTATCATGGGCGAAACAGTATACTCTGTTATGCCCATGGTACTGCTCATGTCTATAGGCGATGGTTACCACTTTCCATCAGGTGGGCCGTCAGCTTGTTTGTCATTCTAAGTTGTATAAGAAAATTCATATTGTGTATTCTATTCTATTCATCATCAGCATATTAGAAGCCTTCAACTGACCACTGCTAAATATAAGCCTCCCCTTGGAGGAGTTTGCCAGTAGTTATCGTGCTTGGCAAGCAGATTGGCATCCGTAGTTAGGCTTTGGAGATATATTAAGAAGGACGCTGTTGCCCATTTTTCGCCCTTCCTTAGTCACCTCTTTTAACGCTCACGGAAAAGGAAGGGGTGGCCTATTCTATGCCGGGAACACACGGCCATTATTGTTTTATTATTTTTATTATAGTAAACATAAACGAAGTTGTTGGCATAAGTATTTATTAATAAATACCATTCCCATTTTACCATTAAGAAAAACTAATGTTCGAATAAAAGATATAAGGAAAATTCACACTTTATTAGAATCTCCTTCTATCTGTGTACGATTCGCAGAAATAGAAATGACAAAAAAATGTAATAAGAACTCATATATTAAACGTAATATGTAAGTATTTCGTGTCACGTTCATAGCTATGTGAAGGACATAACCTGTACTGATATATCCTTCACAGTCATAAAATTTAATTTCCGTTGGATACAAATATGTCTATTACAAATGTTGGATCATTCTTTGAGAGACGGTATTACGTAGTGCAGTTGAAGATATTTTATTTTGTGACATTTCCATCATCTGTCCTCATACTATAAACATTATAAATATGCGAATGTGAAAATATTCCCTCAATCCTGTAGAAGCAGCTGAATAAATTATATTTCATTTTAGTACACATCACCATCATCATCATCACATCAACCGGCAACTGTGCACTGCTGAACATGGGCCGCCCCATAAAAAAGAGAAGAAAGTTACCAACAGTTGCCACACTTTGCAGGCGCATAGTGTACAACGTCAACTAACATCAATCTAGCTGACTAGAAAAATGTTGTCTATTTTGTCAATTTAATCAGGATAGTAACTATGCTCTCTTTCAAGTTGAAGTAAACTTTACACATTCACAAAATTTTATTAAAATCTGTAGTTTCGAAGATTAGTAGAAATAAACATCGTTATTCATGATACGGAATTTTTATATATTAAAATGTATACCTTAACCCTTAACGTTGCCGGAATGCAATAGTTTCATTTACTCAGCGAGCAATGGAGAGGGCTATGCTCAGAGTTTATTTGCGTCACAGAACGTAAAATGAGGTAGAAGGATAAAGCTGAAATAATAATGGACTGGTCACATAACTCGAGGAACCGACAACCGATGTGGAAGAAAGTGTTTAAGTAACGACTCCATAAAGACAAACGTAGTGTGGGACGACTTCCTACTACGAGTGTAAGGTGAAAAGTTTTCGGCCTGACAATGAAAGGCTGCGATTTTCAGTAAATATTTTTATTTTTCTACATAATCTCCCTTGACTTCAACACACTTGATTCAGCGTTTCTCTAACATCAGTATTCCTTTCCGGAAGTGAGTTAGGAAGGTTGTGAAAATATTCATTTACGGGCCGTAACTCAACTTCTTTATCGGACGTGAACCGCTTCCCGGAAACAAATTCTTTAAGTTTGGAAATAGATAGAAATCTGAGGGTGCCAAATCAGGAAAATAAGGGGAATGACCGAACAAATCGTACCCCAAATCCCGGAGTTTTCCCATCACCAATGCAGGGTGCAAAAACTCCGGGATTGCAGGTGTGCAGGTCCATTTTAACGAAACACATGCACGAGGTTTACTGCAAAAATTCGTGGAAATAAACTATCTGAAAGAACAAGTTTCAACTTGTCATACGAATGAACACACATGCACCTAAGCGAGAAATTTAAATTTTTGCTGATTAGAATGCCATTTCTGTATCAGGCCGAAAACTTCTCACCTTTTCCTCGTAAATAGAGCAACAACCTCAAATACATAACAGGCAGTTAGTGGTTTAGGACTGTTCCTTATGACAGTATATGGGAGAAGCCTATGTTCAGCAATGGACAGATACCGATGCTGATGAAGATAAACACCATTACGTTCATAGTTTTTAAAATGATAAATCCGTTGATAAAGCGAATAACTACAAGTTACAAAGAACTAAGTATATATTATACGAAAAATAGATAAACATTTTTTTTAGAAGTCACGAAAAAACATTCACAAACAAATTTAATTATACAGTCCGGAGATTAAACACAGTTGTGGTCCAAACTAAGGAAATCCTATTCAAATTAATGACCTGATATCTATTTCAAAGGACATATTTGTAAATAAATTGCCTTATACTTAAGCAAATTACTACTTAAAGGAAACCTGTTTCCATTATTTGTACAGAATCCTCGATTTTTTTTTTATTTTTTTTATACAACTTAGAATGGCAAACAAGCTGACGGCCCACCTGATGGAAAGTGGTAACCGTCACCTATAGACATTAGCAGTACCATGGACATAACAGAGTATACTGATTCGCCCATGATACCTCCCCCCCCCCCCATGCGTTGCCATTCCTGAGGACTCCTCAATATACGAATTAAACTGCCACATAAACATTTTTCTAAATTTAATATATTTATTTACTATTTATTTATACTTAGTTACGTACACATCACAAATCCCTCTAAATTATTCCTACTAACTTGATAAATACTTGCGTAAACAAAAGTCAGAAACAATCTAACACCGGGATTTATCTCCGTTTAACATCAAACTAGAACAGATCAACAAACTTAATTTCAAATACAATAATGCTGGGGGCCCTTTTTCAAAGGGACCAAACCTTAACAACTTCCAGAGTATACTATAAAGGAACTCCTACTACCAAAATTAAGTGACCCAGTATTGTTATTCATGAATTCGGTTTAGAAGCAAAGATATTTCGATTTTTACCCGACTGTTACTCGTAAATATTAAGGCTAAAGTTGGGCTAAGTTTTTAGGTTTATGTATTTATATTGTGGTCTTTAGAGCAATGTACACCGATGACACCGATAGTCTAAACATTTTTTTTTTCAAAAACGCAGCGTTCTACAAGACGATGTAAACGTCTAATGTTGTTTTTAAATCAAAATAAAATTTATATTTATGTATATTTTCTGTACAATTCTTGTATTGAATTTAGTTACCTAAACATGAGTAAATTATTTATCATTTATTTCATAAAAAAATGATGATGTATTACATACTACTAATGTGTGGTAAGAATGAATAACAAGACTATACATGTCATAATTATTGTTTGACCAATACAAAAAGCTAGATATTAAAATTTTGCACTATTACAGACCACAATGTGAATCTTTTTTATATATTTATTTTTTACAATTTCAAATTTATTCTTTTTTACATTTGATATATTTTCTATTCTCGTATGTTTCTCCGCCTTTCTTACCAAATACACTATTATTATCCATGCTTGATTTAGATCGTTTCACCAACCATCATAAACAGTAATTATTATTAATTTTTAAATCGCAATTCTGAACTATTATTTTGTGACAAATCTTTTATCAATTGATGAAATTTTCTTCCGTATTGATTCCGTATTCTTTTGTCGCCTTTGTTTTTTTTTAGGTAGTTATTTTTTTTTTATATTTATTCAAATAATTACATCATAACAGTCAAACGAAATTGATGTAAAACCTAAAAATATTCTCTTTAGCGCGCCATCTGTGTAAAACATGACTTACCCGTTGCGTACCATAGCAGGGGTCGAGGTTGCCCCCCGGGCGGAACATCGCCGCGCTCACTGCTGCCATCTGCCGGCTACCTCAGTATACCCTTCCACCGCGACATCGCTCTGAAACAAGCAAATCGAGCTGTGAGGCAACTAATGTCATCTATAAGGATAATAGGAATATAAATGAACCTAACTAGCTAAAGTAAGTATAGGAAATGATTGTAATTATTATCTCAGATGGAGTAAGGAATATTTTTTATTACTAAACATCATTAGTGTTAAGATAGCGCCACAAAAGCACGCACAAAAAGGACATGAAAGCCTCTGTTGCGGCTTACCGGGCGACAACCTTACATGCCATCAATGGCAAAAAGCAACAATTATTTTTAAACGAATAATGAAACACTATAATTAAAAAATTACAGATTTGAAAATTTTTTATGTGAGATTGGGATCCAAAATTGAGACCCGCAACCTAATTAGATACATCACTTTTACAACACCCCCGGTAAGGATCAGTACACTTCACGAATGTGAAACGACGATAAAGCAAGTACATTTGTCCGGGGTAAAAAGGAATTGTTAATAATGAAGATTAACAATTCTATTGCTAACAATATACCCAATTAGGTCGACCTCCACGCGGTTCCCATCTTGGTTGATTTATTGTAAAATTCGTCACAATGGGCCAACTAAACTCCTTCATCATCATCTATTATCCCTCACAGGTACCCCGCTAATGTATACTAGTAGCGCAGATGGGGTATCATTTGTTAAAAATAAAGAAAATTTATCCATCCATTATATGAACTTCGCCTAGAATTAACCACAAAGGTTCTAAGAAGGACCACGTCGAGGTCGGCCTGAATATTAAGACCGCTTATCTTCTTTACTAATATCCCACGCCTACCCTTTCCTTCAAGATGCGTCATATTTATTCTCTGAAGTTCTGAATCCTATATTAAAATCCCTGATGTGTCAATCCTTACTATTGCTTTAGTTTATTTATTACCTTTTAATACTTTAACGTCTTAACAAATCACTATAAAATTTGGTACACGTACAATATAGGATGTAGGGGGAAAGGGATTGTTAGCAATGGAGTTTGACAGCCCCATTGCTAGCAATATGCCCTATTACGTAGGTCGTCTTTCACGTGGTTCCCCCTAGAAACCATCGTGAACAATTCTTGTTGAATTCGTCACGATGGGCTAACTGACCTACTTCATCCTCACCTATCATCTTCACTGGTGCCCCGCCGGTATATACCGATAGCGCGGTTGGGGTTATCATTCCATTATCACCCATTAAAAAATATATAGGATAAAGAAGAAAATAGGCTACTTTCCCTTACTTACTTATTCCCTTACTTATCCCGGTCCCAAGAATAAAATCTCGAGTAAAAGCTATTAATAAAAATAATTATTCTCAAAAAGTAAGAGATCCCTGGCACAGAAAAAGGAAATTATAGTTTTAGCTATGCCATAGTACAGTTGAGGGTAGGTATAAGTAGTCAACAATAATTATACTACTTACTTAGTAGTGCATCAACTTGTCTGCCATTTCAGTATAATAAAAAAACAACAGAACTTTATCGTTCTCACCAAAATGTCATCAACGGTCATTGGTATTCCAATTCAAGTATTATATACTTACATACTTATTCATTATGTGTAAAATATTTATTTCTCTTCATAAAATATGTTCTAAAGCTACGTAGCTTTTTATGGGATAAAAATGCTATGGTAGGTAACTCTTGCGCTGTGAGCGCCAGTGAGGAATGATTATTTTCTGAGCAAGTACCCTGATTTTATATTTTATTCCTTGATTTGTTCCAGCTCTTGGTTTTTATTCTTTATTTTTATATTAATTATTGCAATAAACCAATTTTGTTGATTTTTTTTTAAATAAAGTTTACTCCATGTTCGACACATATAATTTTTTTTTTATTTTACATTTGTACTTCTTGTAAAGTATCATAAATATGTTCATAAAACTTAACTTCTACATTTAATTATGAATCACTAGTTTTTACCCGGGACTTTACCCGCATAAGCGAATTATTCTTCTCCATCCCATACATATGACAAAGTTTTATAAATATTGATTAAGCTGTTAGCTGTATATATATATATAGAAGGAAATAACTTTTAAAATCTGTTAAATAGATTAATTATAAGAAATAATTAAAAAATAAAAAGGAAAAATTATCTAAATGATTAATTCGATGAAGGTTCATAATTCAACGCAAAACACTTGATCATAAAGACGGTACAAGCCCAAACAATTAATAATAAGAAAATATGGTATCCCACAGAACATACGTCATTTGTATATGAAAGCTTACAATGTATCTCTACACATATATATAGCTATGAATTAATGGTCTGCAGCATGGGTTATCATGGTAAGAAAAATGTAGATATATTATTTATAAATATAATATATTTATAATATTTATCTACATTATTTTCTTTCTTATTTATTTATATAAAACTTAAATATAAAAATAGCCAAATAGCTACCGTTTCTTTCTTTTTTCCTCTACTCAAAGGCTGTCGAGAAGAGAGTGCTTTAAACACAAGACCAGTTTTTCTACTTCTTAAATTTAATACATATATATTTTTATATATATTCTTTAAGTGGTGTAGTATAAAGTAAATAAATGATAAACACATTAGAAAAATAATAATAAAGTAAAAAACAAACCAACTAATGTAAAAATTTATAAAAAAGTTTGGATTACACTTAAACAGTAAAGTGGATGTGATTGTAATTTGGTTCAAAGATAGACCATATCCTGCTTTAACATATGGGATACTTAATTTTACGTCGTTAAAGGAAATGACACTGCTATTATACATATGTCAAATGTATAGAATAATAAAAATATAATACATTTAAATACTTTAAAACTGTGATTAAATGAATATCACATTTATAATTTTTTTTATTTACTACTTACTTGAATTTCTTTCGTAACTTCTAAAATATTCTTATTCAATTTAAATTTCGAATTATCAACGCATCCAATTTAAATTTACATTCAATATAACCTGTACATGTTTATTATAGTTTTTTAAGAAAATTAGAATACATCTGCCATGATCCTAACAAAACAATGAGTCATAAAAACAGCTGTTCTCTTTTTTCTAACCACGGGTACTACTATCATTATTATTGTGCAATGCGCGAACGCATCCGTAAACGTCGGTGCACTCGGTGTCATTGACCCCGCTTCCTAGCGACAGTTCCCACACGGGTCGCGGTAATGATGCACTGTTTACAATGAACAGGTTTATTCATAGGTGGAACTAGTGCATCCGTAGCTTTAGACGCGAAAGAAATCTTTTTGCATATACTGAGTTCCCGTAATAGGTATGTAGGTACTTCGTTACAGTTACAAATTACTATAGTAAAATTTTTATAATTTAAATTTTCTCCAAATTAATTTCTCCAAAAATATATTTATTCTAAAAAAAACAAAAACAAATCTATTTCACATATATATATTTACCACGATATATATAATCATATTAGCAAAACTAAAAAATACAGACGAATTCTTGACCACCTCCTTTTTGAAATAATATTTAAAAACATGCAACAAAATATTAAAATAAAATATTTTACGGCCAGATGTAAAGCATACTAAAGAAAATTTCGGAAATTTTAATAACCGTAAAAACTTTACAGACACATTTACTTATAATACTTTTAACCGACTTAAAAAAGTATTCAATTATTTTTTTTATATCTATGCCAATTACAATTTTATCTTTTGGAACTAGACTATACTGTGACAGTACCGTGAACATAATAAAATGCGTTTTTTTTCTATACTAGTACGACACATTAACTCTATACACAAATGATGGTAAATGACTATGAATTCTATCTGTGTGGGCCGCAGGTCCAACGCAAGATTGCATCTAACCTGCGGCCCCCACAATGCTGGTTTATATAAACAATTTTTCACGTCTCTCTTTGAGAAGCTTTATCATCATCATCTTAGCCGTTAACTGTCTATTACACATAGGCCTCCTCCATAACTACAAGGGGTTTCGCTAGTAGCTACCATGCTTGACAGGCGGGTTGGGAACCGCAGTCAGGTTATGGTAATATTTTAAGAAGGACGCTGCTACCCGTCCCTCGACCATTAAGTTCCCTAAGTCAACTCTTACGATACCCACGGAAAGGAAGAAGTAGGCCATTCTATGCCAAGACCACACGGCAGCCCTATTTCACCCTTTAAACTAAAATACAGCAACGCAATATTACAAACACAACTGCATAGTGGGGGAAACAGACATGGGACGTATTATGAATGCATTAATAATAATATATTTATTTATAATAGATATGTATAAAGACATAAGTTTATAATTGTTTAAAAGCTGTATGTACAAGAGCGCAGAGCTGCAGACAAACTGCAATGCAGTTTCGCGGCACTAAGAATATATATTGTCTATGTAACTGTTTACTTGAAATAAATAAATAAAATAAAATTATGTCTCATCACAAACAATTTAGGTTAACACATGTAATATTTAGGATAAAATTAAATTAATACGGAACTGTACTATGGAGAGCTGGTGTCTGGAATAGGTTAAAATACATACAGAGTTTAGTACAGATCACCATTAAAATAAAGTATATGTAGCAAGAGATTTAGGTAAGAATAAAGGTACTTGGCCCTCGCTTTTCTACCTACGCTGAAAGGAGCTGTTATGAACGCAGATACAAATAGAGGTCAATTGCATTAAATCATTGCTTGCATTAGTAATGTCATCGAAGAGAAAGTACTTCCCACTCCTATTGATTAATTGTATCGAAAGTTAATATTACTCGACATAATAATTACTCTAATTTATATGTACGCATTTCATAATAGCTGTTACAATTCATTTTCCACGTTGGTACCTATATACGTAACGAAACTAAAACTAGTATTATATTAATTACTGTACAGTAATACGATGAACACTATTCTGTCCAAATGAATATATTTTGTCTTTTTTTAAAAACCTTAAACAGATTAGAACAAATATTAAAAGAAAAATAATCCACTCGTTCTCAAACGCTCTTACCAAAGGAATTTAATTTTAATTTACATAAAT